CTGTCAATGATTAGCACAGTTAGGTCAGTTTGTAAATCATTTTCTGAGCTATTGAGCAGATTATTACTAAAGATGGTACCTCCTGGATATCACATGATAGCTGCTTGACTATTATAAGCCAGGTCAATAATGTGATTGAAAATTGCAACCCTTGATTTCTGAGCTACTGGGTGAATTTTCTGATGTGGTACAAAATCCACATTTTGAAAACATTTTGTAAATCATGCCAAAAACTATTATTAAGTTTGTAACTGAAAGAAAGTCCCTAAGAGAAGACAATGGTGGAGTTGATAAAGACTAATGGTCAAAAGTAATGGTTGGTGTCATCTAATCCAAGGCAGTTTCTGTGGGCAGAAACTTGTTGCTATTTCAACACCCATTCCTCTGTGCTGGAACTGGGACTGTTTACATGACAACCAGAAAGTAGAAAGAAGAATGATGCCATGTCAGACAGTAAGGGATATTAACCTGTTGTTTGGCAGGGACAACTGAGGGCATCATAGTCATGGTAGTTTGGTCAATCAGGAGCCCAGTAAAATCTGTGGATCAAGAAGTTCTCAAGTTCTAGGAATACATATTCTATGGATGATACAGAAATGTCATTTGACCAATGCCTGAAATTGCAGTTCTTAATCATAAGTGCACATTATGACCCTCATTAACCTACACACTTAGCTGAGCTTTTGGCCAATTAAAATTAATCAAACCTTACATTTTAATCAGGACTTTCAGTATTTAAGGTCAAGTTTTAGCCACATTCAGTCACTTTACTTGACTAACCAGTGGTTATCCCGCCTGTCTTGTTCTTCCCGAAATATTATTTTTCAAAGCCTTTTCAACTGTCAAGGACACCAAGAATGAATCCAATGAGTCCCTCCAAGATGCCCAGGACTTCCTAGTGATGGTATGACTCTCCACCACTGAATAGGGCTGCCTGGTTCTTGCAACTTCAGGGATTACACATTGCTGTGAGCTCTCCCATGTCCAATTTGTTGGCAAGTAACACATCATCATCCATGGGTTTAGCCACAGTAAGGTCACTCTGGGGTCCTAGGTTCAGCTATGTCATTAGCTTCCTTGCTATATACAAGTCCAAGGACATCCCCAGTCTCAGAGGGCATAACAATAGCTACTGCCTCATTAGTGCTGGGGGAATCTGCAGGTGGTTCAAATGAAGAAGTTATACCCAACAGTTAGATGTCTGGTTAGAATTGTGCCATCATGACCATCAATGGCACCGGATGTGCTCTCAACTCCATGGGAACACTATATTCCTAAGCCCATGAAAAACCCTTCCAGAGCTTGGATCCTCTCAAGTGTTAACAAAGTATCAGGAAGGTAAGTGCAGGAGGGGTTTATGGATGACAGCAGCCACCAGTGAGACTTCAAATGCCAAAGTGGGAATCATCACAACTGTTGCCATCAACCTGACAACAGTGCAGACTGACCAGCTGGCTAGAAGACCATCTATACCACCACAAGCCTAAGCAGTGGATTGAGTGAGTTGTGACCTTGCAGGCAGAGCTTTCAACCACAACTGGCCAAGAAGAAACTGGTGCACCTCGGCAATCACCAAGCATTTCTATGATGAAGTGATCCTGGGGTCAGGCCCAGAAAATGCCGAGGGTGAAACTCCCAATTAAATATCCAAAGGTGATTATGTACTACTCTATGCTAGAAAAGATTTCAGTGTTGAAAAGGCACTGACAGAGAATGAGTACCAACTGGACCAGAGCTTGGGTTCTTTAGAAATGTGAAGTAGGCCAGCTGCATCTGAATATAATGCCTCAGATGTGATCTAAGGAAGAAATGCACTGCTTGTGGACCAATCTGGCAGACATGAAGAAAGTCCTCACCAAGGCTAGGGATTATCTGATGATCATAATGGCAGGCAACCATAAAACAATAGCAGCCCTTGAGAATCTGCTGGCAGGGTTAAAGTGAGTTGGTGCAAAACCTTGAGCTGGCTCTGGGTAAATGTATATTTTTTAAATGTATTATTATTATAAAATGCTTCATAAATTCAGACACATTTCATCACTGACTTATGATACCACCTTTCAGAAGCATTCAAGCCTTTCTTAGGGTCATTTTTTAGAATGCTGAAATGAATCATTATTAATACAAAGCTCTAACATATGCACAAAGAAGATAAACTATTCTCCAAAAACATTATCATTAAACTTGCAAATATGTAAGTCTCTGTTCTGTATTTTCAATATAAATTAACCACAAATCACACAATCATCAAGCAATGTTTTGGCTAAATTATTGAATTCAATTTGAAACAGATATTTTTTTCTCTAATGACCAAATGAAATTTAGTTTCACAATGAATAATCAGAGCCCAGGGAATGAACTACAGTATACTTACATTCTTGACTGCTGCATCAAACTGATACTTCACCAGCTGTGCATTTTGGCACTCATGGACAACAATTATGTTTATGACCAAGAAATCATTACCAGACACAAATTTAAAGCATTTTTCACAGAATCATAAACAATAAGATGGTGACCAAAATTATCATTATCAATTTGCAGGAAGAAAGTGAGTATAGCTTTGAAAACTACATTAATAATAAACAAAGAAGAGGAAAGCAAAGGACCACAGTGATGTATAGAGCTGAAATAAAAAAATGCAAGCATTAAACATGATGATAATGTTAAATTAAACCCCATATAAAACACCAACAAGGAATATAATTATGTCTTTTTCAGACTTTGGAATTACATTTACAGTTGATTCCATTGTATGATAACCTACAGTTGCAGAGCACATAGATATTTACTCTTCCAACATCTTAAATTTGTTATAGACCCTGTAACAGACCATGGCCTTGGCCATGTTTTTTTTGAAACAGTGGTCAAAACAGTATTATTGGCATGCAGAAATGCTATTCGCTCTTAGTCGCAAAAATGTAACCCAGGTAAGTAAACTTCCCAACCAAGAAGGCAAAATACAAAGCGTTAAGTTATCAGTAAGTTGTCAGTACCTGTAATAGAAATTGATAAAAATGAATCACTTTTTTAAACAAGGGTCTCTTCTGTCTGCCACTGGAAGATATTATCACATTCACAATGCTATAGAAATTTCAAGTTATCTTTTATAATTTCTCAAGTTATTTCAAGATGAACATCACTCTCTGAAGAGAATCCAAACTGTATTTCTTATTGAGACAATGCAAGCATTAGCAATGAAATATCTGTATGCAAGTATAAAAATATGATTTTTGAACATATGTGTTTATGTATTAGGCTTAAGGAAACTTCACTCACAGACTGTTGGCCATTATGGTAGAATGATACATAAGTAAGTTACACTAACAATTACTGAAATTATTGTATTCCCCACCCATTTTTTTTTCATGCAACATCAGAAAATACAATTAGTGGGATGTGACTAAATCAACATAAAAAACACCACTGCTTTGTAGCAAACTGAAGTATAGTCTATAAACCTCAAAACAAATAATACAAAATTGTCCCAACGAAACCAAACTCAGGTTGTAACTATTCTAGTTCTGGAAGGGTATACATACTTACATTGCATCATGATAAGTTATAATATTTCATTTGTTGTGCAGATATATGTTGTCAACCCAGTCTGTTCTGTAATCACACCCTTTATGCATAGTATATTAGTCTCTGGAATAGCTCCAATTTCTGTTAAGTTTCTATTATAAAAAGCACAAATTATGATCTGTTTGAAACGTGATGCCAAAGAGATAAAGAAATGTATATGTTGCAACTGTTTGTATATGTATACACACACACACATATATATACCTGTCCTGTAACCTTTTTCTCTATAATACATTCAAATTGTTAAAATGATTAAAACTCTGCACTGTTGCATACCATATGTTCCCGATATTAGCCATAAAATAATAAAACACTTGGAAAAAACTTACAACAAAACATAACATTCTAATAAACACTAAATTCTTTCAAAAACCAGGCATAATACTAAAATCCATATTATGTAAAAACTACACTGACAAACATAACACCAACATTATTTATAAAATACAATGCAACAACTGCCACAACTTCTATATTTTGGAGAAACAAGCCAAAAAATGGAAACCAGATTCAATGAACATAGAAAAACACCTTCCCACATTTTTGAACACAGCAAAACAAATAAACACAACATAACCATAGAAAACACCAACATATTAGGTAGAGAAACAAAGCCAAACAAACGAAAAATCAAAGAAGCCCTACTTATACAAGAACTCAAACCAAAATTGAACCAACATAAAGGAACGCCTTTATACCTATATTAATCACCTAACATCTAACTGCTATGCCCTCTACAATATCGTACCTGTTCACACTCTCGTCCCTATGACATGTGCCCAGTAATGGTCAGTTTCAAACTGTCTTTGTTAACCTGAAGATGACCTAAGGAGGTCAAAACGTTGTTCTTGTACTTTACTCTACTATACGTTTTTACTTCAAGTGGGTTGCTCATCATCATTAACAATTAAAACAAGTACATGCAATGTATACGTAAAATAGTAGTTTGCAGGATGTAGAAGACTGCCTTACCATACAAAAAAGTATTTTTAAAGCATGAGTCTAGGAAAGAAAAAAATTATTTTATTTAACAACATTTCAAACAAATGTCCTCTGTTCAGTTTGATATGATGAAGAAAGTTTGCTCAAAACATCATTGGTAAGCAAAACAAGTTTTCTATCCTGGATGTGTTTTTTTCATATTACTTCTTTTGTGTAGTAATATACGATGTATACTGTTAAACATCCATAAAATCCTGTTACATTACTCTGTAAAGCATTTATTTGTTGCATTAAGTATATAACTTTTTTATTCACAATTTTACAAATACAACACTAGAACTAAACTAACATGAATTATTCAAAACTTTTTTATCTTTCAAATGCACACAAAGGAGAATGCATATAATGAGAAAATTAAAGGTAGTTAAAAAAAGAAAGAGAGAAAGTAAGATAGATCAGAATAAAAGAATTACCTTAGAATCTTTTGCATAATATAGTTTTCTTGGCTTCAATTTGAAGTATCTTCTCTTCCATCGCTACAAGGTGGAACACAAATAAGATAAATAATTAAATGCATTTTGGATAAAGGTAAACATGTTTCACATACAATGGCTATATATTATTAAGTACACTAGATCAATAGTATTTCAATTGTAAATTTATGACTAGAGGCAGAACTGTTAGACAAGTAAACCTTGATACTAAAAGATGTTTTTACCTAAATGAAGATAAAAATGTAATATTTCCTCTCAAGTTAACAATGATCTTGAGTAAAATAATATGTGTAGACTTGTAATTTAAATGTAAATTAAATATGATTTGTTTGTTTGTTGTTCCAAGCGGATAAAAAACCCTAAGTTTTATTATTATAAGCCCAAAAACTTACTGCTGAGCCAGGGTTGGAGAGATCATAAAAGCCTGTACCAATATCATTATTGGTCAAAGGACCAAATTCTTAAATATTGTGGTCAAAATTCTTCTTGTTAAAATTATTTGATGGTATATATACTTGAGATGCTTATAATCACAAACTTTATATAATACTAGAAAGATTAATGTAATGAGTAAATCTACAGACTCTCTTTTGTTCTCAGTTTTTTTCATTCAATGAAGTTTTCAATACCCTGAAATTGTTGACAACAGAAATGAAGTCACAGTCTTGTAAACAATGGCAATGAATGGAATAATATAGATAAAGAGAGGAACATATATTTGTTGTATTTTGGTATGTGTGTGTGTATATATATCTTTTTTTTACAACTGTCAGTATTATATACATGCATGATTTTATTGTACCATGTCAAGTAAATTTATTTGAATTGAATATCTCCCCTTTGACACTTCTTATAGAAATGAGAACTAAAAAGTGATCACTCCAGTAGTGGTCTTTTCTTGCAGTCAATAAAATGGCAAGAAATAGTGGCATCCAGCAGGAAGATTACCCCTAGCCAGTTGGCAAACCTGAGCATTCTATTGTGCTAGATGCACCCACTGCATTGAAACCCATACATGTTTGACAACAATGCATCTCAATCATTCTCCTTTGCTTATAGACAAATGTAATACAATTTTTATTATTGAAATAACACATGGAATGACAAAACACAGTTGTAAATGGTCCACTAGGCAATTATAGTGCATAGACACTCTGGTCTAATTTCATTATAAATAGTTTCAGATATTTTTGAAAGATAATTTTGTAAACATATCTTTTTTTACAGCTGTATGATCAGATTCCAAATTTTTATATTTAGCATTACCATTTAAAATAGTTAAAGTTTTGTCTATATGATCTTTCTTATTCAAAATTACTATACCTTTACCCTTATCCAGTTTAAGGATTACTAAATTATCTAACAAACTGAGACTTTTGTTGCCAAAAATTCTTCTGAGATAAGTTTTGTATGCTTTCTTAAGGTCACAACTATGAAATCCTGAAAGTGCTAACCTGAAACTTCTATCAAATAGCTCATTAGTGAGTTCAATGTTCAGGCTCCATGAAAACATGATGATTTGTTTCCAATATTGGACATTGGCATTCATAAAGTAACAGGAAATCTCTCTGTTACAACACAACCAAAAGAAATTGTTGTGTGCATTTAGAGCTGTGCAGTCAAAACTGTCAAAATAAAAAACAAATAATATTCACCTGAAAAGAGCTTGTTTGCTTCGCCAGGAAACCTTCTTTAATACACACCTATAGGTAAAAAAAGAAGACATTAATTTAAACTGCTATAAAAGTCTGCTAATAATTGTAAGCATTAATGCTATTTCTATTTATAAACTAATAGTAATAGTTACCACATCTGTATCATGTCAACTGGAATTTTGATTGTTGTATATGGCACCTTTTAATGTTTGGAAATATTCTTGCTTCAAAAAACAAGATAGTACATTGTGTTCCTATTGACTTAAAGTTATAAAGAATGAGAGACAAAGAATGTGCATATTATTATAATCATCCAACATTTCCAACATTCAGAGACTGAAGGCTGCAGTTGACTGGAAGCCTATACAGAAAACTTTACCATGGTCATAAAACACTAACACTATTTGTCTAAATGACACTTCCTGTAATGATTAAACAGTACGTATGCAGTTAAAAAAAACCTTCTGCTTCAGTACACAAACTATTTGAAGGAAAAATTAATTTGATTATGTGATGTTTATATATATAATCGTGCTTACCAGCTGCAATCGATAGTAAGTGCCACCACTTTCTAAATAAATATGTTGTTTGGCTGTATATGAATAAATTAATATTGTAATATCTACATATATATATAAAGCACAAAAAAGAATCTGTGTGTCTGTCTGTTTGTCCATTATCTAACTACTCCTACGTTGTCAGGCCAATTGTAACCAAACTTTGTGAGATGATAGTTTGGAACAAGGGGCATGTTAATAGGTGGTTCACAGCTCCCTCCACTTCCATTATTACTGTTATTGAACATTTATTATCTTTGATGTAAGGTAACTTTAACTACATTTGTAGATGGTGCCACATCTTTACACTGAAAAAAAAAGTTTCATTTTCTATAACACAACATACACATAGTGTTGGGGAAGGGCACACAAATGTCTTGTATAGGCAATGAAAAATAATGGCCACCACTATTGCAATAATACATAAACTAAGCTGAAGTTTCTACTCCAACAGCCATCATAAGGCTGATATGAAAAGCTGTTTTTTGAGTTATACCAACTTCCTACTTTGAACCATGACCTTTCAAATTTAGCCTATAAGATACTTCTGTGTCCGATGACCATCTGTTAATTAACCATGTGAAACACTGTAGAAGGACATAAAGAGGTGAGTGTTGAAAGTAGGTAATAGAAAGCACCCCTAATACCACTACTTTGGCTGCTATCTCTTCCTACAAAGTCACCCTGACCATCATACAGTGTATACTGTGTTTTAAGTATATACATGTTGAGTTCTTAAAATTTATATAAAACTTTTGGTGAGGTAATAATGAATACTGTAATAATATGTTATGTTATAAACAAATTGCATAAAAGTTAGGATTCTTGTGTTATTTATCATAATATCCACCCATTAACTGAAGTTCATAACCTACACAAAGGATAGGTACCTCTGCTTGTTATAAATATTACTGATAAGAATGATGAAGTTCAAATAACAAATTGTTTGTTAACCTTTGTACAAGAAAATATAGACTGTTTCGATACTCCATGTTACAGTTTTAAATACCAAAAACTGGTAAGGTAATGAAACTAAAAGGACTAATAACAGTGATGAAAAATCAAATCAGCATGCAGATGTGTCTTTTTTTCTACATTTCCCTTAATTAATTATTCCTTTATGGATTTCAAATGAGAAGCTTAACATTAAATGTTTTGTACTGATCATAAAATAGCATTCTGAACAGTCTTGTCTGCCAACATGTTCAACCCAACTGATGAGTTTGTTTGTTTGTTCAATTTATTGCAAAGCTACTTGAGGGTTATCTGTGCTAGCCATCCCAATTCTGAAGTGAAAGAAACTAGAGGGAAGGCAGCTAGTTAATACCATCCACTGCCAATTCTTGGGCTACTCTTTTACTAACAATAGTAGGATTGAACATCACATTATAACACCCTTATGACTGAAAAACAAGCATGTTTGGCAATGAGTTTCATTCCCGCAACTCTTACATTGCAAGTCGAGTGTCCCAGACATCAGGCCATGCAGATTACCATTTCTAGTGTTGAGAACTAAAAGTCTCCTGGACATTATGCAACAGGCAATAAATATATTTAAAATGCTATTTTTACTCACTTCTAATCAGAAGTCCGTAGTGAACTAAGAGATTTTTATCACTGTATTAGGTTTTGATACTTTCTTGAATGTGCTGTATTATGAGTTCAGGGATTTTGTATTGATTGTTTAGTGTTAACAAAGAAGATATTTATACACGTACAATACAAAAAGGCATATTTATGAAGTCCCATGACTTACATTTCTGCAATGTAATTTGTTGTTACACACTAAAGGAAGTGCTTGGGTATGCTATGTGTGCAAGCATGTAAAAACATAGTGGAGATTTAACTGTTTAAAAAATATTCAAACAGTTACTTTTACGACTTAGTCCATTGATGAGGTACATATATCATTAGACAAAGACTAACTTTAAAGTTAGTCTAAAGAGTCTGCTTTTAGTTAGTCTGCTTTTTCGTATTTAGGCCTACTTCCAATAAATGTCTGCTTTTTGTCAAAGTCCACACAGGCAGGTTCAATTGCTTTAGAACACCCTTGAACGAGACAAATTATTCTCCTAAAATGTCATATCAACCACCAGGCTATTCACTTCTACGACGGTTAACTTTACGTTTTCTAACCTTTTCTCTGACCAAAACTCTCTTTTACTCGGCTTTACTTTTGGCTCTCTTTCCGCTCTCTGGTCTCTCATCTGGTTGCCGCTGTTTGATATCTCTCATTGAGGGATTCTAGAAATCTCTATATCCTCTACATCAATAATTTACAAACACAACTTCCAATAATCATCTGCTTTTAACTCTCTTATTATGAAAAAAAACTAAACAATCATGAAATATTAACCCATAAGATAATTTAATTAATACTACCTACACTAAACAGTCTTTATATATGACAGTAGGTCTCATTTGAGTAACCCAATGTCAATGAAATCCATGGAAGACTTATTTAAGTGGTATAGTGTGAAATCCTATTTGTACTTGCATCTTGTGAAGGAACTGACTTAAATGTGAGACTGGATGCTATGTTTTTAAGGTGTCATACCTTATTGCCACACAGTTCGTAAAAACATAGCACTCACAGTACAGTGGTGTTAGCAGCACATTAACCTGATAGTTCGAAGTTTACTGTGCATTTTTCTCAAATCTTTGGATACTTAATTTATCATTATAGCTGTACCTTGCAACTATCACCAGTTCCTTGGCAAAACTTTTGCAAAATGACATATGCTTCGTGTGATATTGGAGAAAATACTTGTATTTGTCACATGCCAAATATATCTCATATAGCTTTTGACAGGATGATCTTTCGATCAGCCACGTGCTTTGGAAGAAGTCTGTGAACGTAGCTAGTGCCACTTTTGTCGACCTACCTTATCTTGTTTACAGTTCCACTGTAAATTCTTACTTTAGCAGCATGCGTTACTTCTATATAGTGAAATGCCGTTCAACTTCCTTCACGATTTCTATACAATGGTAATCAGACATGGAGTAGCCTTCCCATTGCGTTATCAATAGGGTTCAACTACAGTTGTACCTTTCTTCTAAACGCTAAAATTTCGTACTTATATATTTTACAGTTGCGAAATAGGAGAACATCGTGTCAAAATGTTAATTGTAGGTTCCATCTGCACTTGAAATTGGTTACACTTTAACTGCATTGCAAGAAGGTCGGAAATTTATACTTTTGTAGCCACAGGACAAAGAGATTACTAGAGGAAAGGCAAGTAAATATGCAAAATGCAACCACAGAAGGTGAACAACCCTCTTTACAGATCATGGTTAATACTGGAATATTATTTTGTTGGGCTCAGCAACAGTGACGCCTACAATACTTTATGAATATCTGGTAAAGTTATGTCACCATTTGTCTGAAGTAACATTGATTATTGCACTAACTAATAAATAACAACTTGTAGTTCCTGAAACAAACTGAACTCCTGTAACACGAAGTCTTCAGGTTATTAATCAAAAACATAAGGGAAGTTACTTCAAAACGATTACGATTCTAGCTAACCCGACTTCAGTCTCATTTTGGACATTTAACTTAACATTTTCATAACGATAAAAAGAATCTCCCTTACTTGTTCAACTTTAAGCCTTTAACAAGGACACTATCCTAACTCAAAAACCTTTATATGAACTATGCTTTATCTTATTTACACATTACCCAATCACTAAATTCCTTTGATTTCTGACTACCTCTCACTGTTTCGGCCAGCTTAGGTATACAGATCAAACTTCCCAAAATAAGTTGCACACTTAACTCAATGCTTTACTTACGTAAACCAGTTCCCTACTAAAGAAGTTACAGAAACTATTAACGAATTGAAAAAGAAAAACATAAACAGCCAAAATACGTTTAATAAACAACTCAAAAAACACCCCAAAAAAATAAACAAAGGAAACCTAATAACTTGCACTATCCCATGTATTGAAAACAAGTCGAATGCCCATCATATGACGGAAAATAATGATTAATTTCTCTTAAAATTATACCTAAATAAATGTGTTATGAACATGTTTTCTAAAAATTAAATATAATCTAGTAACAATATATGTATGTATGGAGAGTAACTATCCTATTTCTCGTATTTCAAGAAAACAAATTTTTTATATATAGTTGGTATTCTTTAAGTATTGCTTGATTAGTATTTTGATTTCTGTATATTTTGAAGTTACGTTCTTCTTGATAAATCCTGATTCTCCTACTTGGTCAGCTGTATGATCCTGCAAATTATTAATTGTGAAGGTAAAGGCAGTGAACTTTATTACGAATTTCGGGATCTTCTCTTTGGACTGTCTTCCTGGTTTTGTTTCTGTTAGCCTGCTGAGCTGAAGAAGAGCCCTTTAATTTGGGCATTTTCATAATGTGCTGCGGATAAAACATGCGTGTTATTATAGAGTTGTTGCCGAGGGTTCCGACTGGACAAAATCTGGTGATGTTGCGTTAATGTGTCCCCTTGACAACCAAGTGAA